TTGTTGTTGTTGTTGTTGTTGTTGTTGTTGAATATTATTACTTCTAAAGAAATATTATTGTTGAGACCCCTGGTGCGCGACCCCCCTCCAAAACCTAGGCCGCAGCCTCATTTCCTTCATTTTCTAGCGAAAGCTTCAGAAAAGTGGATTGTCACCGGATCCGGTTGTTTTGTTGTAATCCGCTTTCCCTTGCAAAAAACACCATAAAATGAAAATTCTTGTTCTTACTTGATCAAATTGCAAGAATCCCTTGCAAAAAATAAGGTAAAGTGGACATTCGTGCGCGCAAGACGAAATCCTTCCAAAACCTTAGGTTTCGTAGCGATTTTAACATAAAAACATCAAAAACCCAATGGTTTTTTAAGAAAAAAATGTCAAATTGTTCTTCCGCGCGCGCTGTCCGAATCCCACAAAACCAATGGTTTTTCAACATTTATGTTACATGAGCTCGCGCGAGCTACTTTTTCTTGTTCTAACATAATCAAATTTCAATAATCCCTTGCAAAAAATAAGGTAAAGTGGACCTTCGCGCGCGCAAGACAATCCTTTCCAGAACCTTAGTTCCGTAACGTTTCAACATAAAATAACTCAAAAACCAATGGTTTCAAAAAAATGTCCAATTTTATCCCGCGCGCGCTGTCTCCGACTCCCACACAACAAATGGTTTTTGAAAACATTTCTGTACTGAGCTCGCGCGAGCTTACTTTTTCTTGTTTCTAAGCCATAATCAAAATTTCAATCTCCCTTAACCCCCCGAAAAAAAAGTAAGTGGACATTCGCGCGCGCTTAAGACCAACGGACAAACACGAACGATCTTAGAACTTGCCCCAAAATGTGACCAACTTCCCGCTCTCTCTGTCTTCTCTCTGTCTGCTCTCTGTCTCTCTCTTCTCTGTCCTGTCTGCTCATGTATTGTAATGTAACATTGCTCTTTGCTGGGCACATGCGCGCCCCTAATAAGTGACCAAGTTCTGTGGGTGTGTACCCCACGCCAGTGTAGTAGCCACGGTCGTCCGCACGCCACGAAGTGAAGTGTCCCAACGTCATAGGGCGGGAAGCTGGGTTTGGGTGGTCGCGAAGAGTCGTTTGGATATTTGGTAGAGCTTGAACTGCCCCCCCACGAAGTGGGGTATTGTCTCGCGTCGCATGAAAACCCTGGCACTGGTGAGAACACTGAGCGTTCGGGTAAAATGATTGTTGTTGTTTGTTGTTGATGTTGGGGCTATACGGGGGCCAGCGCTCCGCGTGTAGCCGGAACGATGGTCCCTGATCAACTAAAAAAAGGGTGCGACGCCGGGAGGGCATTTCGGTGGAAACAGGTAATGGGGGGTTGTGCGCATGAGGAGGAGGAGAGAGGATGATGAGGAGGAGGAAGAGGAAAGAGGAGGGCTGCGGAGGAGGAGGCGGAGTGAGAAGGTGGAAGCTCGCATCAAGAAACCATTTGCTTTTCGTCAGGGTATCCTGGGTTTCTTCGTCCCTCGCGCTGCGCGATGGCTTCCCGCAGGCGTTGAGTGAGCTGCTGCGTTCAGGGTGCTCCGGGTTTCCCCTCAGGTGCACCTCGCGCACGGGTTCTCAGGGTTGGGTTTCTTGCGAGGATTTCTTGCGGCCGCGCCCGCACTGTAGAGGTTGCCGGGAGGGGGGGATCGACAACACTCATTCTCTAGTGGTGGAAGCTCAGCAGCAAAAACATAGACAGCAGCAGCAGCAGCAGCAGCAGCAGCAGTAACACCACCAGCAACAACAGCCGCAACAACGCCAACAGCACCAACAGCAGCAACATCAACAACAACAGCAGCAACAACAACAACAACAATGACAACAACAGTAGCACCACCAGCTGCAGCAGCAGCAACGACAACACCACCACCAACAACACCAACAACAACAACAACAGCAGCAGCAGCAGCAACAACAACAACAGCAGCAACAACAACAACAACAGCAGCAACAGCAGCAGCAGCGGCAATGTTGCACGCCCGATGGACAGCATGTTGTGCGCGGCAGGGGCGGCGCCCCGCTCGCTCAGCGTCCGGGGAGAGAGGGCAGCAGCGCTCGGCCTGGCCACAGCTGCAGAAGGCGGGTGGGGGGAGGACGGAGGGAGCATGGGGGGGAGGAAGAGGGGGGAGGAGGGGAGGGGGTAGAGGGGGGGGGGGGACGGGAGGTGAGGAGGGGTGAGGGGGGTGGGGGGTGGTGGGGGGGGGGGGGAGGGAAGGGAAAAGGGAGGGAAGGAGGTGAGGAGAGGAGGGGGGGATACGGAGAGTGTCTTTGCCTCGAATGGGGGGCGGGGGAACGGAAGGAGAGTGGGGGGATGGGGAGGACGAATGGGGAGGAATGGGGCAGGAGGGCGCGGCACGGCAAGCGGTGGCCCTCGACAGCTTCGCGGAGGGCACTCAGAAGACAGAAGGCATTCTCCGTCGAAGGCCAGAACGTTTTTGCTCCTCCTCCTCCCTCCTCCTCCTCCCTCCTCCCTCCTCCTCCTCCTCCTCCTCTCTCCTCCTCCTCTCTCTCCTCCTCTTTCCTCTCCTCCTCCTCCTCCTCCTCCTCCTCCTCCTCCTCCTACTCCTCCTCCTACCTCCTCCTCTAAGGTCCTCGGCGCGCTCCTGCGGCGTCTGCGTTTCACCTCTACGTTTCGTCACTTTCGCTCACGCCTCCTCCCCCTCCACCTCGCTCCTCGCCCCTCCTCCCCCGCTTTCTCCCCGAGGCAGGGCCGAGGACGTCGACCCCGCCCCCGCCCTCCCCCGCCCCCGCGGCTCGCAGAGGCTTCCCAGACGCAGACGTCCAGCTCAGCATGGGGTTCAACGACCCCCGCACGCAGGTCACGACCCATGGTCGTTCCCTGTCGCTCGCTCTCCCCCCTCCCCTGGCTCCCTGCTCGTCCTGGTCCCAGGTATCGTTCCCTCCTCTGCCCCTGGTTGCTACTGCTCTCCCGGATCGTAGTCATCGTCGTCATCGTCGTCATCGTCGTCATCGTCGTCGTCGTCATCATCATCATCATCAGCATCATCATCATCATCATCATTGTCATCGTCGTCATCGTCATCGTCGTCATCGTCACCATCGTCATCGCCATCGTCAGCATCGTCAGCATCGTCATCGTCAGCGTCGTCGTCATCGTCATCATCGTCATCGTCATCGTCATCATCGTCATCGTCGCCATCGTCATCGTCGCCATCGCCATCGTCGTCATCGTCATCGTCGTCATCGTCATCGTCGTCACTCTCGTCATCGCCATGGTCGTCGCCCTCGTCCCCGTTCCCTGCAGACGCAGGTCACGACCTGCGCCGAGCTGGCCGCGCGCGTCGCGCAGGGGCTGGGGCGGACGCGCCTGTCGCCGCCGCAGCCGCCCGCCGCGGCCGCGGAGACCGCGGCTCCCGGGAGGTGCGGGGAGCCCCAGGGGCTGGAGTGCCTCGTTCGCGAGGACCTGCGCCTCATCCCTCCTCCTCGTTCCCCTCCCGCCCCCTCCCCATCCACCCTCCTCAGTCCTTCTCCTCCTCCTCCTCCTCCTCCTCCTCCTCTTCTATTTTCTTCAGTCCTCCTCCCACTCACCCTCCTCCTCCTCCTCCTCCTCCTCCTCCTCCTCCTTTCTCCTCTTCCTCCTCCTCTTTCTCCTCCTCCGCCTCCTCCTCCTCCTCCTCCGCCTCCTCCTCCTCCTCCTCCCTCTCCTTTCTCCTCCTCCTCCTCCTCCTCGTCCTCCTCCTCCTGCTCGTCCTCCTCCCCTTTCCCCCCCCCCCTCCCTCGTTTACAGTCGCTTCCTCTTGCTCGTGCCTTGTCCTCCCTGCTTTCCTCCTCCTCCTCCTCCTTCTCCCCCTCCTCCTCCTCCTCCTCCCTCCTCTACTCCTCCTCCTCCTCTCCTCCCCCTCCTCTCCTCCTCCTCCTCCTCCTCCTCCGCTCCTCCTCCTCCTCCTCCTCCTCCTCCTCCTCCCCTCCTCCTCCTCCTCCTACTCCATCCTCCCCCTCCTAGCACCCTCCTCCTCCTCCCCTCCTCCTCCTCTCCTCCTCCTCCTCCTCCTCCTCCTCCTCCTCCTCCTTCTCCTTCTCCTGCTTTACCTCCTCCATTCCTTCCCCTGATAAATACTTCCCCCTGTCGCACCCCGAGGCCCGTTTTTAGGGCGGGCCGGGCGTTTCGCCTGAGACTTCCTCACCATCCTGATTTTGAAGTTTAAAGAGTGACAGCAGTTTCACAAATGGAGGGCGGGTCGCTTTCAAAATGTTGCTCTACATTTAGCGCCGTGCACATTCGTTCTAAACATTTGCCAGAGTTTCATGGACTGAGGGCGGGTGGTTTTCAAAATGTGGTTCTCGCCTTTGCGCCGCGTGCATTCGTTTTAAACAATTGTTTCACGGATTGAGGGAGGGTGGTTTTCAAAATGTGGTTATCGCCTTAGCGCCGCGCACATTCGTTCTTTAATTAAAGAGGACATCACTAATTCACTAGTTTTACGGATTCAGGGCGGGTGGTTTTCAAACTGTGGTTCTCGCCTTGGCGCCGCCCACATTCGTTCTTCTAAAAAACTGCAAGAGTTTCACGGATTGAGGGCGGTTCCTTTTCAAAATGTGGTTATCGCCTTAGCGCCGCGCGCATTCGTGTTCAAACTTTGCAAGTGTCTCACGGATTCCCATGATCAGCGTTGCAGAAATGGTGTGCTTGAAAGGTCCAGGATTCTGCGGGCGCAATAGTTATGTTGATTCGCTGTGTCGAAGTTCCCAAAATGGTGTTCTGGCATGGTGTTCTGGATCATCAAGATGCAGCAGTCAGGTTGATACGTGGCGTTGGGATTCCGATATCAATGTTTTGGTACGCTTCCGGATCTTCGAACTGTTGTCTTCCACCGAGGCAGTTCCTTCAATGGAAATGAACCGTTGTAGGGGCCTATGAAGAGGGAGCGTGGACGGAGGGATACTTTCAATATCGTTGATGACTCTTGGGTTTCCAATGGTCCTTCTCCTCCTCGTTCTCCTCCTCTGCTTTCCTCCTCCTCCTCCTCTTCCACCTCCTCCTCCTCCTCCTCCTCCCCCTCCTCCTCCTCCTCCTCCTCCTCCTCCTCCTCCTCCTCCTCGTTCTCCTCCCTCTCCTTGTCGTCGGTTCTCCCCTCCTCCTCGTCCTCCTTCCTACTCGTCGTTCTTTTTTGTTCCTCCTCCTCCGTTATCTTCCGTCTTCCTCCTTACATTTCCCCTGTTTCTCCTTCTCCATATTTCTCCACCTCCTCCTCCTCGTTTTCCTCTTCCTCTTTCCTCCTCGTCCCCCTCGTTCCCCTCCACCTCCTCCCCCACATCCTCCTCCTCCTTGTTCTTCTCCCCCACCTCCTCGTTCTCCTTATCCTCATTGTTCTCCTCCTTCTCCTCCTCCTCCTCCTCATGTTTATTTTCCTCCTCCTCGCTCGTACTCGAACTGTAGGTCTGTACCCTTTCTTGCTGCCTTGCCTGTTTCTCTTCCAGCCTGTCCGCTGCCTTGTTGGCCCTGGGGCACGGGAGCCTGCAGTGCTCCCGTGCCCACCGTATTCGCGTTTTGTACACGCCGCTTTACTCACCCGCTTACGGAAACATCCTTTCTTCTCTTACATCCTCATTTCTAGTTGGTACCGGGCAGGTTTACTCCTGCTCCTTCCACGGCCGCCACATCTCGCCTCGCGTCCGTCGCACTTGTTTCCAACCTCCGCCGATTTCTACAAAGGACGGTCGCCTCCAACATCTGCGTTGTCGTGCACTTCTTGCCCTTAGCTCTGGCAGGAGACGTTACTTTAGGGTCCGTCGGGGTTGTACCAGCCCATCCGCCAGGCCCCGCGACCGGGAGCATGCACACCGCCTTCAACACCTTCGCCTTCGTGCACGTTTTCCCGCTCATTTTGTCAGGAGACGTTAATCGCGGGCCCGTCAAGGCATCCGCCCATCCGCCAGGACCAACGACCGAGAGCGTGCGCAACCAGTACATAATCATGGACAACATCACCAAGATCTACAAGGACCCTTTTGCGACCCATCCCAGGCATGATCGGACTGCGCCCAGGCAGCTCGCGGGCCCCCAACTGTCAGTGCCCCCGCCCGCGGGGGTAGCTTCCGGTGCTGGGCAGTTGCTCAACGCAGCGTTCACATCTGCGGCGCCAGAACAAGGTCCCGAGCTTCTTGGGACTGTGTTTCGAGAGCCTTGGGAGAAGCAAGCAGAGAAGTGGCATCCGGCAACTGCGTCGCTGGTGCCGCGCCGGGATGCATTGGGGGGCATGGGGACTGCGCTCTCAACCCTCCGAGATAACGCAGAAGTGGAGGGCATGGCGACTAGGGCGCCATCGCTCCGAGGCGCCGCGCATCGGGGCCCGAACCTTCGCTGTACCTGCCCAGGCCCACCAGCCGGACAGGACGGGATCCCGATGCGCGCTCCTCTAGACGATCGTGCAATCGGCGGCGTTCAGTGCAGTACTTGCACGACGTACGAAGACCATTCCCGTGACTGTGTCGCGGGGTGCTCCGAGCGCCGCGAGCACTACAGTGATGCGACCGACGAGGAGGGATTCATCAGGGGCAAGTATCGTCGGCGACTCGTGCAACGCCGCAGCGTCGCCGGCGCGGGCGCGGGCGGCGGCAGCGGCGACGCGCGCCGCCCCCGCGCCCGGGGGCCCGAGCACCGGGCTCGCGCGCCTTTCTTCAGAAATGGGCGCGCGAGGCGATGATCTGGTTAGTGGCGAGCTCAGACCTCGACAAGTTCCGCCAGGCGGCCTTAGTCTCGTCGAGCCGATCCGGCATGGCGCGCGAGTGCGTGGGCGACTGGCCGCCAGCTGCCCTGATCCAGGGAGGTCGCATCAACGGCAACCCAGTGCCACCGAGAACCTTCTTTATGCGTAGCTTGGCCGAGCGATGGGGCCGGCTGGGCGAGAAGGAGCGCACCTCGGCCCGATCGACTCTGATGAACTTCAACCGACTGCCGCGGGAGCGCATCGACAACCTCCTGACGAGGGGCGACATCCCCCGCAAACGGACAGCAAGCTGGTCATTTCAATCGGCTACGAATGATTTGGTTTCATCCAGTTGCGCGCCGTTGGCGCGTCGAACACTCAACGCACCATGCCCCTACAGCGCTGCAGCGTGGCCTACCGCGCGAAGACTCGGCAGCTCGCCCATATGGGCCCATGTGACGGGCCAACTGAGACGCTTTGGGCGCATGATAGAGGGATCGCCAGGCAACCTCGCCTCGGCGGCCCACTCTGCCCAACGGCGCACGTTCCTCACGGGCGTGCCCACGTTGGAGCAGAGCTGGGGCGGCACGGGCTACGCTGCGCTGGGATCGGCACCATGTCCCTTTGTGCCGGCCGAGACCGTGTCTGGAGGCTGTGTCTCTAGCGCCGTCTTCGGCGCCCTGCTCGTGGGCCAGTCCGGCCGCCGTCCGAGGACGGCATGGCTGGCCACCTGTGGCGGTTCGCCGACCAGCTGCGCACCAAGCTGATTGACGTTTTGCAGTGGTGCGACACTTGGGACATGCGGGCCGACCCCATGACCGAGGGCAGCATGGGCAGAGAGCTAATCCACGCGCGATGGACGGCCACATCAGCTATGACCACGCCAACTCGAAGTTCAGCGACGAATGGCTGAAGAAGGTTGCCCCGAGCATAGCTCGCCCACGCAGAAGTAGGGAGATGACTCTCGCGACTGCGTCGCGAGATTTCACGGAGGCGGAAAGCAGATGTACTTCCCAGAGCCGCATTGACACACAGGGGGCGGGATGTCCACTCCGACGCCCGCGGACATCGACGGGCGAGATCGACGAGTTGAACGCTCAGGCGAGCGGGCTCGCGCGGACTGTGTCCGGGCAGCTCGCGGATCTTGGGCGGGCTCGCGCGGATCGTGTCCAGGCAGCTCGTGGATCTTAAGCAGGTGCTCCCCTTACTAGTCTCGCACTTCACTGGGTGGGGGAAAAAGTAAGCCTGCTCTGGTTAGGCTTACGGGTTTCACCGGGAGTAGCTTCCAACCATGACATTGGCGCCGTAAAATGTTGTTGCGGTTGGCGCCGCGGGGGGCCAATGTGCCCTTAGGCTGGGGCGAAGTCCGGTGACCCTGGGACCTGCCGAAACCAGGTCAACGCGTTCTGCCGTGAGGAAATGTTTCATGAAGGGGCGGTTAGTAGAGGCCTCCTGCTGTGCTATACTTTTGAAGGCACGACGGGTTCGTTTGAGCACCAGATTCGAATGGTAGGTCTGCCCCCCTGCCTGCTGCCTTGCTTGTTTCGCACCCAGCCTGTCCGCTGCCTTTTGGCCTTGGGGTACGGGAGCTTGCAGTGCTCTCGTGCCCCCCGTACTCGCGCCTTATACATGCCGCTTTGCTCATCCATGTAGGGGCAACATCATGTCCCTTCTTGCATCCTCATTCCTAATCTCCTCCGCCTCCTCCTCTTAATCCTCGTCGTTATTCTCCCCCTCCTTGTTTTCCCTTCTCCCCCCTCCTCGTCCTCCCCCTCCTCGTTTTCCTCCTCGTTCCGCTCCTCCTTCCCGTCCTTATTCGTCCGTCCGTCCGCCCGTCCTTTTCCTCCTCCATTATCTTCAGTCCTCCTCCTCCCGTTCCCACTCCTCCTCATCGTCCTCCTCTTCCTCCTCCTCCTCCTCCTCCTCCCCTTCCTCCTCCTCCCCCTCCTCCTCCTCCTCCTCCTTCTCCTCCTCCTCGTTTTTATCCCTGTCATATTCCTCCTCCTCCTCCTCCTCCTCCTCCTCCTCATCCTCCTCATCCTCCTCATCTTCCGCCTCCGCCTCCACCTCCGCGTCGTCCTCGTCCTCGTCCTCTATTGTAAGTATTATTATTATTATCATTATTATTATTATCATTATTATTATTATTATTATTTTTATTTTTATTATTATTATTATTATTATTATTATTATTTTTAGTGGTAGTATTATTACTATTATTAGTATTATTCGTAGTATTAGTATTATTCGTGTTATTCGTATTATTAGTATTATTAATATTATTTATTTATTTATTTATTTATTATTATTACTATTACTATTACTACTATTAGTAGTATTATTATTATTATTACTATTAATAGTATTATCATTGTTATTATCCTTATTGTTATTATTATTATTATCATTATTATTATTATCATTAATATTATTATTATTATTAATATTATTATCATCAGTATCATTATTATTATTATTATTATTATTATTATTATTATTATTATTATTATTATTATTAATAATAATATTATCCTCCTCCTCCTCTCCTGCTCTTACCTCCCTCTTCTCCTCCTCCATCCTCCTCCCTCCCTCCTCCCCCTCCTCCTCTCGGACTCCTCCTCCTACTCCTCCTCTCCTCCTCATCCTCCTCCCCCCTCCTCTCTCCTCCTCCTCCTCCCTCCTCCCCCTCCTCCTCCTCCTCCTCCTACCTCCATCCGCCCCCTTGTACCTCCTCCTACCTCCTACCTCCTCTCTCTTCCTCCTCCGCCTCCTCTCCCTCCTCCTCCTCCCTCTCCTTCTCCCTCCTCCTCTCCTTCCCTCGCCTCCTCCTCCTCCTCCTCCTCCTCCTCCCTCCTGTTCCTCCTCCTCCCTCCTCCCCCCTCTTCCTCTCCTCTCCTCCTTCTCCTCCTCCTCCTCCTCCTCCTCCTCTCCTCCTCCGCTCCTCCCCTCTCTCTCCTCCTCCTTGTCCTCCTCCTCCTCTCCCCTCCTCCTCCTCCTCCTCCCCTCTCCTACTTCTCCTTCTCTTCGTGTTCTTGTTAGTATTAGTATTACTGTTCTTGATAATCCTCTTCTTCTTATTCTTCTTATTATTCTTATTATCATTATTCGTCTTCTTTTTCTTCCTCCTCGTTATGTCCCCCCTGCGTCCTCGGAGGCCCTGCTCTTGATGGCCGAGACCAGCCGGCGCGCCGAGAGATCGGACAGCCGAGCGCGGCGCGCCGAGAGGCTGATCGAGGCCGCTTCCCGTCTCCCTCCCTACCTCTCCCTCCCCTCCCTCCTCCCTTCCTGTCCCCCTCCGCCTTCCCCCCTCTCCCTCCCTCTCCCTCCCTCCCCCTCCCCCGCCCTCCTTCGCCCTCCCCTGTCTCCCTCCCTTCCTCTTCCTGTCCCTCTCCCTCCCTCCGTCCTTCCCTGTCCCCCCCTCATTCTCAGCCTCCTCCCTCCCTCGCTTGCTCCCTCTCCCGCCCCTCTCTGTCCCTGTTCGTCCCCGTCGCGCCCCCCCAAGACGTGGCAGTCGGGCGGGCCGGGCGATTCGCCGGAGGCTTCTTCGGAGCTTCTGCTCTTGAGTCTTGAAAGCTCCAACAGCAACCGGGATGGAGAGGGTGATTTTCCAAATGTCGCAGGCCTAGAGATTGACACCAACACCAACATCGGCGGTGTGCATCCACCGAGGGAGGAAGATCCCGATCGCGGCGATGGTGGTAATATTCTGGCTTCCAAGGTGGCCGAAACATTGCCACCAACACCGAAATCGAGGATCGTCTTCCCCCTGTGGAGGCAACCCCCTGTGTTGGTGTTGGTGCCCATTTCTAGGCCTCCAAAAATGGCTCTCTCGCCTTAGCCCTTTCGCGAAACCCGTATTCGTTTTGGAAGCTCGCCACAGGTACGGAGATGGAGGACGGTCTTTTTTCAGAATGGGGCCATCGCCCAGAACTTCCAAAGTAGAGCATCTAGACTTTGAACACGTCGAACAGTTGCACAGTTGGATGGCGACTCTTTGTCAAACTGAGGCTCTCGCTTGAGAATCTCTGGAAGCGCATGGCCTCTCGAGGGGGTGTTTGAGCCTCTTGGGGGCTCCTTGGAAGCCTTTTCGGCTGTCTTAGGGCGTCCCTGGTCCGTCGGAAGCTGTCTTGGGCGCCTCGCTGCGCCTCCGGGGAGCACACTGGGGGCGCTTCGGGGCCGTCTTGGAGGCTATCTTGGCCGTCTTGGGGGCCTATGGTTAAGTCGGGCCTGTCCCTCTACAGGGGAAATAATTAAAAATAGCCAAAAAATAGTCTGAGGACTATTGTTTCACCATTTTTGAGCAGGTTGATGGCATTTGGGGGGTATGTTCAATTTTTCGTCAAAAATCGGCCTGTAGGGGGACAGGCCCGATTTAAGACTATGGGGAGCCGCATTGTGAAAACCACCCGCCCTCAATCCGTGAAGCTCTTGCAGCATTCGAGAACGAATGTGCGCGGCGCTAAGGCGAGAGCCACATTTTGAAAAGGAGGAGGAGGAGGAGGAGGAGGGGGAGGAGGAGGAGGAGGAGGGAGGAGGAGGAGGAGCGAGGAGAGCGTCTGCGACGACGAGCACCATGGCGTCAGGACTCAAGTCCTGAGGAAGCCCCGAATGCGTGGGAACACCTCAGGCAGCGTCGCCAAGTTTTGCATATTGTCAGGACGCAAGTCCTGGGGAAGCCCCGAATGCGTGGGAAGACCCCAGGCACAAGTCGCCACGTTTTGCGGTAGGTACTCAGGCATGGATCGTACGTATACAACTCAGTGGATACCAGCTGGCCAGATGGTGGGTGACTGCTACGAACATACCGCGCCACACATCGACCACTACCACATCCCTGGTATGCCCCACCACACCTCTACAAGTCAACGCTGCCCTGGTGAGGCATGGATCAAACTTCGAGACGGGCTCGAAGGGTGGGGGGGAAGGACGAGTACTACCCGCGCCCACCAGGGGGGATGGTGAGGGGCAAGGGGGGGGGGTAGGACGTCCACTACCTGCGCCTCCGCGGTCCGCCCTAGCTCGCCACCCCCACCATCCCCATGGCGGAGGAGGTGCTACCCGAGCGCCCACTGGGCGAAGCGCAGGACAGCCGAGACATCCCACACCACAGAAGCAAGCACCAGGCCTGGGGTTCGCCCCCACCGAGGGCACCGTGACCCCTAGCCATAGCGGGACGAGGTGGGGCCGCCGCGAACCCCACTTGAAGTCGGTGCATGGAGGCCTTATATGTGCGCCCACGCCCCACAACACAACACCAGCAACAAGCCGAACGCCCAACGACCCTGACCAGCACGCACAAAAAGCAGCTACAACGGCGGGGGAGCTCACCATCGACCTACCTCTCAGCCAGCATTTTCCGCCACCATCGACCACCATCACGTCTGAGCCGAGCATTACATGATGAGGACCATCGAGTCAAGCACTACTACGTCAATGAACGCGACTGGGTCGAGTACCACAGGATCGACGCCGCATTTTCACGCAGTAAGCCAATGACCACCATGATGGAGTCGATCACCACAGCCCACCAACTGACTATCAGCCGAAGACAACCAACCGACTACCCATTACCACTACCCGCAATTCAACGGCGACCAGCATTGCTGAGTCGGGTGCCGCGAGAACGAGGATCTGCATAACAGTCTCAGGCATCATCCTGATGACCATCATGATCGAGCCGTGTCACAGACCGTGAACTACGGAGCCAAGCTGTACCACGGTGACCAGCACGTCAGCGGCGAGCAGCACAGCTCCGAGCGCCGCAGAGTCAGGCTGCGCAACTTCGACCTGTACGACTGGGTCGAGTACCGCGGGTTCGCGCACCACGGAGGCCAGCAGTACCTCAGGTTCGCGAGCCACAGCCGTGCGGCCGCCGGCCCACGAAGAGGCCGACGGCCTGGCCGCGCGCCGTGCCGCGCTGCCTGAGTGGGCGGCCGCGCGCGGCGCCCGCTGAGGGCCCTGTCGGGCCCCCTTCTTTTTTGAAAACTCGGCCCCTTCCTTCCCCTCCGTGATATTATTGGTCCCTGGTCCTCCCCCTCCCTCGGGGTCGGGTTCCCGGGGCCGACGTCTGAGTGCCCGCACGGCCCTGTTGGGCCGCTCCGGAGCGCTCCGCGCCGCGGGGCGCACGACAAGACGCTGCGTAGCGAGAAACGGCAGAAACGGCAGGAGGAGCGAGGAGAGTCATGGGGCCATTTTGGAGGCCTCTGGGGCGATCTTGGGGGCCTCTGGCCGTCGCGAGGCCGAGAATAAGAAAGCGCCCAAATCCTTCAGACGCGTGCAGGCAAAAAGTGATGCGGGCCTCTTCGGGTTTTGTTTTGGAAGGCACCCTGGGCCATCTTGGGTGCATCCCCAGAGATCCAACGCAATGAAAAAAAACAAGACGGAGGTTGTTCGTATTTTTCGGCCTCGAGGGGCCCTCGCCGGGCCCCAGGACCGTCAAAAAACGATTCAGGATGAGAAACCGGTCCCGGGGAATGGGTCGAGACTTTGGGGACCCCGCATTGAAAAAAACACGACATCGGATCTCTGGGTCTTGAGCCGTCTGGAAAATATCTGGCGGCCATCTTGGGCTCTCTGGCCCCCTGGGGTGGGAACTTGGCCGATGTTGTACGCGTCCTGGCCCCGCCCAGGAAGCGGAGCCCAGGCGGCCCCTCCCACCCTTCCCCCCCCTTCCCAGGCCGAGCCGCCCCGGCTCCCCCCCCCCAGCGCAGCTGAAGCTCGGGTTGCAGACTGCAGCCCCAGACCCCCGACGCAATGATTTGTTCATTACGTCGACCCCCAGAGGTCCCGACCCTTTCCCCATGACCGGCTTTGCATCCTGAGTCGTTTTTTGACGCTCCCGAGGCCCGGTGAGGGCCCCCGGAGGCCGGAAATTTAGAAAAAACCTCCCGTCATGATTTTTTCAATGCCCGAGGGGGTCTGGGGCCTAGGCTCCTCGAAACTCACGCGCCGGACCCGCGCGCAGCGGATTTTCGCTGACAGTCAGGCTGTCGTCGACGGATTCGATGACCTCCTCGGTGGCAGGCCACCGCCGTGCGTGGGGTTCGCAGGCCGACCTTTGGCGCAAGCTCCGCCGGGCCTTTCGGGCCAAGCCCGACGTGCTCAAAGTCCGAGAGCCACCAGGGCGAGCCTACTACTACTACTACTACTACTACTACTACTACTACTACTACTACTACTACTACTACTACTACTACTACTACTACTACTACTAGTAGTACTACTACTACTACTACTACTACTACTACTACTACTACTAACTACTACTACTCTACTACTACTACTAACTAACTACTACTAATACTACTAAACTACTACTAAAACTACTACACTAACTACTCTACTACCTACTACTACCTACTACTAACTACTACTACTCCTACTAACTACTACTACTACTAACATAACCACAAGTACTACTCTACTACTACCACCACGACTTATCCTACTACGACTACTACTACTAATTACTACTCTACTACTACTAGCACTAAAGTACTACTCTACCCTTACTACTAAGTTACTACTAAACTCTACTACTACTAACACAACAACTACGACTACTACTACTACTACTACCACCAGTACTACTACTACTACTACTACTACTACTACTACTACTACTACTACTACCACTACACTACTACTCACTACTACTACTACTACTACTACTACTACTACTACTACGACTACTACGACTACTACTACTACTACTACTACTACTACTCCTAGCTACTAACTACTTAAATATTATTAACTACTACTCACGACTACTACTACTACTACTACTACTACTACTACTACTAACGACTATTACTACTACTACTACTACTACTACTACTACTACTGCTACTACTACTACTACTACTACTACCACTAATAGTATTACTACTACGACTACGACTACGACCACTACCCTTACTACTACTACTACTACTACTACTACTACTACTACTACTACTACGAACTACTACTACTAACTATTACTAACTACGACTAACAGCAGCAACAACAACAACTACTACTACTACTACTACTATTACTATCAATACTATTACTACTACTACTACTACTACTTCTTCTACTACTACTACTACTACTCCTGCTATCACTATTACCACTACTACTGCTACTACTACTACTAATACTATTACTACTAACTACTACTAACTACTACTACTATTATTACTACTACTGCTACTACTACTAGTACTACTACTACTCCCACTACTACTGCTACTACTACTATTCTTACTAACTAACTAACTACTACTACTACTACTACTACTACTACTACTACTACTACTACTACGACTAATACCAATACAACTACGACTACGGCTACGACTACTACTACTACTACTACTAATAGTACTAGTACTACGACTGAGACTAAGACTCTTACTACTACTACTACTACTACTACTACTACTGCTAGTACTACTACTACTACTACCTCTAACTGCGACTACTACTACTACTACTACTACTACGAACTGTTTACGAACTACTACTAACAACAACAAATACTACTACTACTACTACTACTACTACTACTACTATTACTACCACTACTATGACTACTATTACTACTAACTACTTCTACTACTACTACTACTACTACTACTACTACTACTACTACTACTACTACTCCTACTATTTCTACGCTTATACGATGCCACTACTATTGGGACTACAAACTACTACTACTACTAGCTACGACTA